TAACTTGTACACAATATAAGAGTATTTGTATTGTGAGGTAATTATTATTATAATAAAAAAACATTGAGTAAATGTTTTACAAACTCTTACAAATGGACATGAATGAACTAAAAATAGACACATATTAATATGCATTTACTTCACCTGACCAAGTGATCGTCCACTACCTGTTCAGTTTGTGTTCTTACATTGTCTCAACTCTGTATCTCATTCTCTCTCTCATTTACTCTTTCATTAACTAGTTGGCTCTCATTGACGATGGCGTCTAAGGTTAGCTGTAATAAAAAGAGAAGTCATAAGCCTCTTGCTTTAAGTGCCAAGTTAGAGGATGATGGTGTGCCATTCTGATTTTATTCAATAAACACCCTGCCACTCACCTCTCACACATTAATATTAATATTTTAAGGTAAGTAATAAGTGTACTCTGTGTGTATCTTACCTTTTATTGTGTTTTTAATGACTATTTCTGTTGCTAACTTAATATAAGTTAGTGTAAACTTGTTGTCTGGCATTTATTGTATATTTTATGTGTGCTCTGATAATAATACTTGTGGAGCTGTGTGGTAGCCGGGCGAAGGGACAACATTACGTTTTCTCTGCTCAGCCATCAGAGAAAACGTGTATGAATCTGCATTTGGCCCAGCCACTCCCTCACTCTGCTTTTGTTTACAATTTTCGGCATGAATTATTCATTACTTCTACCTTCATTTATGATGGAATCTAAAGGTAGTGGTTAGAAATGATTAAATTCAGTGAACAAGGCATGTCGATGTTAATAATATGGCTCTGGGCCACAGTGTAGGTAGCCGGTAGGTGTACCTACCGGCTACCTACACTGACTTCCTACAAATAAATACTACTCACCTCTCTTCCTACATTCAGACTACACATATTTTAAGGTAAATAATGAGTGTACTGTATGTGTATTTTACCTCTCTGTGATGTTTTAAATATCGTATATTAAGTATGAGACTGGGAGCAGGGCTACCTACACCTGGGCTACCTGCACCTGACTTCCTACAAATAAGTACTACTCACCTCTCTCCCTACATTAAGATTACAAATACTTTAAGATAAGTAATGAATGTACTGTGAATGTATTTTACTTTGTGTGTTTTTAATGCCTGGTTCTATTACTAACTTAATATAATTTAGTGTAAACTTGTTGTCTGGCATTTATATGCATTTATAAATGGAAAAAAATGGCGTTCTGCCTTCCGGCGATGTCTGCTTTCCGGCGACAGCCTGGAACCTAACCCGCCGTATAAGTGGGGCCCTACTGTACAAGCATATATATACACACCCCTCTGGGTTTTCTTCTATTTTCTTACTAGTTCTTCTTATCTCCATGGGGAAGTGGAACAGAATTCTTCCTCCATAAGCCTTGCGTGTTGTAAGAGGAGCTAGTAATCCCTTCTCCTGTACACATTATAAATTAAAAAAGAGAAACTTATCTTTTTTTTAGGGGGGTTGAGGTCCACCCTGCCTTGGTGGGATATGGCCATTTTGTAGGAAGATGAAGAAGTACAGTCACTTAATGGAGGTGCCTTGTTGTCAGTGAGTGGCACTTAGTGAAGGAGTTGTACCTGTCCTTGCATTCCTTGGATCGAACCTGATTGCCTCTCGTTCCCTAGGTGCTGTGTGACTGCTGCAGGTTTGGCACTTATCCATAATTTTAATAATAGTATTGGTTCTAGTACTACAATTTTGACTGTAAGAGAAACTAAAGGTCCCAATGTATATGAAATAACAGTGTTTAATTAACTAATGTGGAAAATACAACTTGAATATTCATCTGTTTGTCTTTTCTTTATAGTGTATATTTATTCTAAGCAATGGAAGTTTGTTTATTAAGAGCTTCTGATAGTTAAATAATGCAAGAGGAATCCTGTAGATCATTCATTTAAATATATATTCTAATATAGCAACAGTGAGAGGTAATCACAGATCTCTTGCTAAAAATATTCACAATTCCACTCCTGTCAGTAGATAGAGGGAATATATTTTAGCTCAACTATGGATTCTTTATTAGTGCCAGATTTACATCATTAGCAGTAGTTACGAATAGTTACTATTGTTACTGATAGGATTGAAAATGCAGCTGTTATTAATTTAGAGAATAATTACAGCATTTAAGTTTTTGTTTTTTACATATTCCATTAATGGTAAAAAACTTAAGAAGGATTCCAGCATTCAGAAGAATTGCTTTGTAGGTTTTTCAACTTTGCAGACAAGTTGTTTTTATATAAAAAAAATAGTACAAAAAACTGTGATGTTTCACTTTCATATTATGGCTTGGCAGTTGTTTGACTTTGGTTTCCCAAAAGTACCAGTTGTAAATGCAGATGTGTATGACTAGGGGCATTTGTAAGCTGGGAGACCTCTTGTATGCAAAGAATTATTTAAAAAATAAAGCTGAGTGTCTCTTAGCAATATATTTTTCAGTGTAAGTGCTAATATTCTTTCTACCTCAACTCGACAATTACAAGCAGACCAATAAGGAATACAAGACCTCTAATAAATCACAAGGCTAAACCTTTAAGATTTAATGCATGATTACTTTTTTAATTGTTTTTACTATTTGATGAATAAAAAATTATAGTGCTGTACCAGTTTGCAAGTGTTAGCCTAAACAATATAGTTTACGTAGTCTTGCTGTAATTGTCATTTCTCTTGCTGTTAATTTTTTCTCCTGTTCTTCACCATCTCACACTGCTGCTGTACATAATATTTAATCTTACAACTGCAGCTGATTCTTTATTGGTATTAAAGCCACATCTTTTATTTACAAGTTTTAGTATTGTTTTAAATTCTTTGTCGATTTAGAAAGGCAGAGCATGCATGGTAAGACATGTATTGAATGACTTTTTTTGTAAAACAGAGGTCCCCAATCTGTATACCATCAGGCATCAAGTCACCGCTGGAGGTCTTGTAAACAATCTTCCATTAATACAGAGCACTTTGTATAAATAATTTTTCATGTAACTGATCATTAATATTTAATAATTTATAAGAATATGGCAATGTGAACGTCATTGAATGAGTCCAAATTTTTTTTATGCTGGCATGAGTAGGCACAGTAATAAACAAAAAGAAATTAATTTTAATGTTAGTATCATGAAAAAGCGATTTGTTTTACGTATGTTAAGGTGAATGTACACACTGTATTTGTTTAACAAAAATTAGCATATACGTATAATGTTTCAAAAAACTTGCTATAAATCACAAAAAAGTTTATACAGTATTAATATCAAATTAATTCTGACATAAGGATGAAAAAACAGTGATTTTATATAAAGCCAAGCATGACAGCCATAAGGTTTTACAAGCCTTGTATTAAATTAAAAAAATGTTGCAATACCATCTTTTAACCCTTTCAGGGTCCATGCTGTAGTTCTACGGCTTTGAGTTCTGGGTCCAAACCGTAGTTCTACGCCATGAGCTCAGCTCACTCAGATAAGCTGGGAGTGGTAAATTTGGGCCTAGATGTGAGAGAATACATCTATGTGGTAAGTGTGCACCACATAAAACAAATCTTGCAGCACACAGTGCATAATGAGAGAAAAAAACTGAGACCATAATTTTTTATTAAAACAGTGACTTCGCGGTATTTTTTAGCATGTTTTTTATAGTTGTATTTGCAATTTCATGGTCTCATTTGATAGAATGGAAGACATATAATAGAAATAGAGATGATTTTGATTGGTTTTACTACTGAAAATCATTTGAAACTGAGCTCAAAGTAGCCGAAATGTTAAATGTTTGCCAATGTTCAAGAGTAAACAAATGATGTCATGCGTCTAATTAATACGCATCAGCTGGTGGGTCTAATATACTTTCACGAATGTGGTGGTATTATTTATACAATTATTACAATATTTCATAACAGTAAATCTTCCATTTTTTGGTTTGAATAAAAATTCATTATGTGAATAAAAAATCAAAATGGAATTCATTTGTAAAGCCTGAAAATGTTACTAATGAACAGAGGAAATGGTAGTTTAGTGCCAGAAATGTCTGCATTGTTTATTCTGGATCTTATTTTGAAATTGGAATATTTTGAACTTTGTGTTAAATTAACCAAATTACCAATTTCTGATCACTTTATTGGGTAGTTGAAACAGTTGACTTGGTGATTTCTTGTGTTCAGTCGATAAAATAGAAGTAATACAGTGGACCCCCACATAACGATCAGCTCCCAACTCGACCAATTATGTAAGTGTATTTTTGTAAGTGCTTTTGTAGGTGTATTTTTAGGGGTCTGAAACGGACTAATCTAATTCACAATATTTCTTATGGGAACAAATTCGGTCTATAACGGCACCCAAACAGACTTCTGGATTGAAATAATATCGTTATGCGGGGGTCCACTGTACTAGCAAAATGGCTAAGAATTTGGTCAACTAGAATAATGTAATTGACCTAAAATGGGAGTCAAATTTGGCAAAATCGCCAATGCGTAAATATCACTGATGCATCAAAATTCTTAAGAGCATAATTTCGTCAATTTTTCATCAAATTTCATACTTTTTGTTTTATTACCTTCGGAAAAAGGTTCTCTACCATTTCATCAGAAAAACTAACAAAAGTTTTTTTTGAAACTTCTTGGACCCTGTGGACAAGTCTCTGATTTTAGGTCTGGACGCTGAAAGGGTTAAAATTTCTCACTTGTATGCAAAGCCAAAAGAGTAAGTATAATATTATATCTTAACTTCAGTATATGCTTTATGATTGTTGCCTAATTTTTATCTATTCTTCATTTTAAACTTTATATACATTTTGAATAAAACAATACTTTGAGGCACATTGTATTTCCTCAAATATCACAGTAACCCTTGTGTATATATAGGTTGAAGGACCTTTGGTTTATAATATTTAATGTAGCTAGATAGTCACAGGTCTGACTTTCCTAACCCTTCTATTGTTTGTAGTGATTGTGGTTTTTCTTGTACTGTTTATTTTTCAACAGTTTTCCGATCATTAATTTTCATTTTTTCTAGTGGATAATGGATGCCCTATTGTGTAATGGTCTGGGTATCTACTGTGGGCTTCAGTCCCTAAAGTATTTCTCCATGAAGACTTACCATTGGAGAGGCCTCTGGAACATCCCCACATACAGGTACTGTAGACCAAAAAACCTGCTTTGGGAATGTCAGAAGCACGATTTTGTCCATGCTGTGTCAGCACATTCTTTAACTTTGATTTGTAAGTAAAGTGTCTAGTGAAGTGAATTGTTAAATATCCTGTGATGCAGTTAGTTTTTTATTAATAAGTTGCTTTCTTATGACCCAGAAATATTTTGGTGAATTATCTTTTTATGATGAAACTTCTTATATGAAAACTAATGTACACTGACAGACACTGTGGTGCTGAGTGTTTCTGTGTGTGTAGTAATTTCTTTGAATTTAGATGATGTCTTTCAGAGAGAGCAAGAGAGGGAAGGGAGGAGGAGAGGGGAAAGAGGGAGTGAGAGAGGAAATAGGGAAATAAAGGATGATGAGTGTGTGCTGTCACTGACTCGGAACACTTAACAATTCTGCCCAGGACAGGGTAATGACCTTTATGGAAGAAGGAAAATAGACTTAATTCATCAATGGAAAAATAGTGATGGTCAATAGCTACAGACAAAATTCAGTGATGTCAGTTACTGCTGAAGTTCTTGAGGTAAATTCACTACTATTTATTTGTTTATATGGACTGAATAAAGGCAGCTCTACTAGTGAACTTCTGGTGAATATCTCTACTTTGTCAGTGAATGACTCTTAAGATCGGTTGTGTAGGGTCATTAGACATTATTTGTGCCTTCACAAATCTTGCCACCTTGGCATCTAATAAAAATTTAAAGTGCTTACTTTCAAGATTAATTTTTTTAGAGTAGTTTTTAATGCAACAGAGTCAGTGTAAAACAGACCACAAGGAAGTATTTAGTTTCTTGCTGTGGAATGTCTACTGCATAAACCTACTTCACTTCATCCCAGATTCCCATGCCTATGCAAATGGCTGCACTCTTAGCATTTAGTTACACAAAAGATAAGCCTTTATGTTGCATTCACTCTTAATAAAATATCAGATTCTCTCTGGGTATCTTTAGACAGCATTACATTAATACTGAAGTTGGTGGAAGAATAAATGGAAGAGTCTTAGCACCTAGTAGTACCCCTCAAGGAAGGTTGCTTGATGCCACTGAGGGGCTCTTTGCGCAAGAAATTAGACCTGCCTTTTTTTAATCATACCTGTTCACCTCTGATTTCTCCATGCTCTGTATGACCCCTACAGGCTTAGCATTCTTCCAATGAATGTAATTTAATAATAATGATAATGGCTACAGAGAATTATAGGTGGTAGGATGTTAGACAGCAACCGCCCAGGGAGGTACTACCGTCCTGCCAAGTGAGTGTAAAACGAAAGCCTGTAATTGTTTTACATGATGGTAGGATTGCTGGTGTCCTTTTTTCTGTCTCATGAACATGCAAGATTTCAGGTATGTCTTGCTACTTCTACTTACACTTAGGTCACACTACACATACATGTACAAGCACATATATACACACCCCTCTGGGTTTTCTTCTATTTTCTTTCTAGTTCTTATTCTTGTTTATTTCCTCTTATCTCCATGGGGAAGTGGAACAGAATTCTTCCTCCGTAAGCCATGCGTGTTGTAAGAAGCGACTAAAATGCCGGGAGCAAGGGGCTAGTAACCTCTTCTCCTGTATATCTTACTAAATGTAAAAGGAGAAACTTTTGTTTTTCCTTTTGGGCCACCCCGCCTCGGTGGGATACAGCCGGTTTGTTGAAAGAAAGAAGAAGGCTACAGAGAATGTGGTGGCACCCAAGAAACCAACGTTACACTTGCTCTGCAGCAGAGGCTCCTAAATTTTGTATGAGACAAAAGTTTTTTCTCACCTTAGGTATCCACTTCTCTTTTGGATTTCCTACCCCAGATTTCTTCTAAGATTTTTGGAAATACAAGACAACTTACCTTTTTCCCTTTCCTCCATCTTTGTCATCCCTGTCATTTCAGCAGAGCCTTCAATACAATAGGGATGTCGCTGGTCTTACTGTCATATACAAAAACATTATTGTGGAAAGGTTGTCACAACATGTTGATACAATATCAGAGAAATCAAGTTAGCAGATGAAAACTAACCCAAAACTGGCATGCATATGCATATATGTATGCATGCATGCATTCATGTATATATACAGTGGATCCTTGGATAACGATTTTAATCCATTCCAGAGAGCTTGTCCTTAACCGATTTTATTGTTAGCCTAATTAATTTTCCCCATAAGAAATAATGGAAATCCAATTAATCCATTCCAGACACCCAAAAGTATTAAAAAAAAAATTTTCACGTGAAATATACATTTTTCTACACAGACAACAATGAGACATGAAGAATAAATGACACTTATCTTTACTGAAGATTTATTGATGAATGATGAGATGGGAGGAGGGGGGATGATGGAGGTGTATTATTGTTTGGAAGGGGAATCCCCTTCTATAAGGACTTTAGGTAGTAAGTCCTTTTCTGGGGTTACTTCCCTTCTTTGTTTTTTAATGCCAATGGGAACAACTTGACAGTTGCTGGACCTTTGTCACACTGAAAATCTGTCCTTAGAGCTCTGTTTCTGGCGTTCCTTTAAGATTTCCCTAAAATGGGACACAACATTGTCATTATAAAAGTCACCAGCACGGCTTGCAACAGCTGTGTCAGGATGATGTTCATCCATAAAGGCTTGCACCTTTGTCCACATTGTACAAATGTCCTTAATCATTGAAGAAGGCAACTTCCTCCATCCCTCTCTCCCCTCTGAAACAATTTCCTCAGCTGTGGTCTCTTGCTGTTGCAGATGCTCTTGCAGCTCATCAGTGGTTAACTCTTCATCATTGTCCTCCACCAACTCTTCCACATCCTCGCCACTAACCTCCAACCCCATGGACTTTCCCAATGACACGGTAGATTCCACAACTGGTATAGGCTCCTGAGGGTTAGCCCCAAACCCTTCAAAATCCCTCTCTTGTACACATTCTGGCCACAATTTCCTCCAACCAGAGTCCAAAGTCCTGCAAGTCACTCCCTCCCAAGCCTTACCTATAAGGTTTATGCAACTGAGGATACTGAAGTGATCTTTCCAGAACTCTCTTAGGGTCAGTTCAGTGTCTGAGGTAACTTCAAAGCACTTTTGAAACACTGCTTTAGTGTACAGTTTTAGGAAATTTGAAATGACCTGCTGGCCCATGGGCTGGAGGAGAGGAGTGGTGTTAGGAGGCAAAAAACCTGACTTTTATGAAACTCAACTCCCCCATAATTTGCTCTTGCGAGTCGGGAGAATGAGCAGGAGCATTGTCTAATACCAGGAGGCACTTGAGGTCCAATTTATTTTCCAGGAGGTATTTTTTCACAGTGGGGCCAAACACTTGATAGAACCATTCATGGAAAATGTCCCTAGTGACCCATGCCTTACTGTTTGGCTTCCACATCACACACAAATTAGCCTTGACGACACTGTTTTTCTTGGTCACTCTGGGAGTTTCAGAGTGATACACGAGTAAAGGCTTCACTTTGCAATTCCCACTAGCATTGCTACATGAGAGTTAGCCTGTCTTTCATAGGCTTGTGTCCTGGGAGTGCATTTTTATCCTGAATAATGTAGGTCCTGTTTGGCATTTTCTTCCAAAACAGGCCTGTTTCGTCACAATTGAACACTTGTTGGGGTTTGAATTTTTCAGCCTCTATGTACCCCTTAATTAAAGTCCTGCACATATTTTTCAGCCACTTTTTGGTCAGAACTGGCAGCCTCACCATGCCTTATCACACTGTGTATGTCACTACGATTCTGAAATCTCTCAAACCAACCTTTGCTAGCCTTAAATTCACTAACATTAGCACTAGTTCCAGTCATTTTCTTAATGAGATCCACATGTAACTGCCTTGCCTTTTCACATATGATTGACTGTGAAACATTATCTCCTGATAATTGTGTTGTTGATCCACACCAGTAACAGTCTCTCCACATCTTCAAATACTACTTGCGATCTCTGTTTTGTAAGCATACTTGCACCTTTCACAACAATAGCTTCCTTGATTGCTTTTCTGTTGGCCAAGATAGTAGCAATGGTTGATTGGGGGTTTGTTATACAACCGGGCCAGCTTGGAGGCACACATTCCACTTTCGTACTTTGCGATTATCTCTTTCTTCAATTCAATAGTATTTCTCACCCTTTTTACCACAGGGTTGGCACTGGAAGCTTTCTTTGGGCCCATGGTGGCCCAAAATGTATCGCATTTATGCATGGAACCGTCCGCACTGGCTTGTAAACAATGGCACACTGGCTGTACATAGTGGCCGGGCAGCCACGGGCGGTCCAGGTCGTGTGGACGCGTTCGGGATGAACGTCCTTAACTGAGTTTTTCATTGTTGACCGAGCCAATATTTTTACGTAAAAACACATTGATATCCGATTTTATCGCTATCCAATGGCATTGTTACCTGAAGGTCCACTGTACATACATACAGAGTTGGCAAAGCATCTTGCCCTGTACTCTACCACTGAATGCCAGAAAGAGTACTAGAAAAGTTATGTAACTTTACCTTTAGTATTTTGTATCTCTTTTGACTTGTGTGTGCCTGGGCATGGAGTCTGCTGAAGATAATAAAATAAACAATATCCATAGTGACCCACACCTTTCTGCTTTGGCATGGATGAGGTGGCTTGCTTTATTAGGTCTACCTTCATCTTATGTCATTCATTATCTGTCAGATTTAACTCTGGACTACTACCACTCTAGTCAAGCACATTAATATTGTTATCACTGGAGCACTGTTTAAGTATTGTAGATGGATGAGGGGGTGCTTTATCTTCTTGGAGAAAATTTCAACTGTGAATGTTGAATTGCAATTTCAGATGGCTCTCTTAATACCTCAGTATACTGCATCCCCTTCATTATTTTATTTTTAGGAAGGAAAAACAGGCTTGCCCTTCCCTTCACACCACTGAAAGCACCCCAAACTGTAACAGTCTTAGTGTCTAACACTTTTCTCTTCTATATACTTGGGTTTGCATCTGTTGCTACCACAGGGGCAACAAACTTGCTTTGGTTTGCCTTGGATGTC